GCGCTTGATGATGCCGAAAAACTTGAGCTCGTCGCGCCAGTCGCCGTAGCTGCTGGGCCTAACCCAGGTGGATGCCGTGGTTGTCCCTGTCCAACTGTGGTTCTCTCTCCGGTGCCGAATATATCGTCGTATGCTGATCCTTTCCGTGTCGGTGTTCTCTCTGCCGTCGAGGTAGGTACGAACTGGCACGCTCCTGAAGATAAAGGGGTCCGTGTCATGATGTTCTTGTCGTACGTGGATGTCTCATTCGGTATTGCTGCCTGTTCGTCTGGTTCTTCTTGTTCATGGATGGCCGGCAAGGTCGTGTAGCTTCCATATGCGTCGTCTTCGCGATCAGTGTCTTGATAGAACTGTCGTCGTTGGTCGTAGCCTTTTCCTTTTGATCGATATCCTTTCTTGCCACGTCCTTTGCCTTTCTGCTGTCGCTGCTGGAAGTCGCTTCTGCCGAAGCGTGGAACATCGCGTCGATGATGGTCGTGAGATCCTCGATTGTCTTGATAGCCTCTGTACCGATCTCGATCGTATCCTTTGCCGTTGCCACGTCTTTTACCTTTGCGATTTCCTTTGCGATAGCCTTTTCCTTGTCCGTAGTATTCTTCATCATACTGCTCGTCAGTCTGATACGCGTTGTCCTCTTTCTGATCATCCTTGAGAGGGCAGGTGTCAGAATTGTGCCATCTCGAGCCACATAGCGTACACTGATCTCCTTGTCGTTTCTTTCCTCCTTTCTTGCCGTTCTTGCCGCCGCCAGTTTTGTCGTCCTTGCTCTTTCCTTTGCTGTATGATCCTTTTCCGCGTGCATTCTGCCAGTAGTCCTCGTCCGGTGTCGATGGGGTTGGAAGAGACGATGATGAAGTGCCGCCTGCTGCTGCGCCTCAGTATCCATCTTGATCTCCGTTGTCGTCATACCAGTCATCATCATCATCGTACTCCTCATCGTACCACTCGTCGTAGTACTCCTCATCATCCTCGTAGTAGTTGTCATAATCGTATTCGTACTCTCTCGTCCAAGAGTCTGAATCTTCCCAGTAGTTCTTGTACCCGACGTGCTGCTCATTGGCCGCCATCTCGTTCTTGCTCACTTTTAGCTGCAACTGAACCATCTCGCGCCATCTGTTGAGATCACCATTGACCTTCAAGCGTAGATTTGCGAGCGTCTTGTCAGTAAACGTCGTCCGTGACCAGAAGAGCCACGCCTTAGCTGACTCGCCCATCTGTAAGCCTCCATATCGTTCAGCTTCTTCATATAGATGATCCCATTCAAAAAGGTATGAGATGAAATCTTGACTAGATCCCTGACGCAAAGTGAAGAATCTGTCCAGCGAGGTCCAGGCTAGATCTTGATCATCCAGTCCATACATCTCGAATAATCTGTCGTTCAGAATCTTGATTCCACTGTGCTGTAGTGGGGCGAGTTCATTGCCTTGACCGTCTAGTATTGCTGCAACTCTTGGTAAGCTGACCGCCTCAATGCCACGATAGTTCACAACGTTGCCTGCTTGATCGAGTCGCGTCACACGTAGGTCTTGAGCTGCTCGTAGTGCTGGGCCCTCGAGTCTGCTCATAACCGCTGCGCCAAGCTGGTCTTGCTCCAACCGTGTGAGTCGACTCCATATCTCCAGCGCTTCTCGATACTCACGTATTGGATATGCCCTTGGCCGCCAGCCCGGCGGTATGTCCTTAGAATACTGCTTGAGGGAGAGTGGGGTAGTCTGTGGAGAGGCCAACATCTTTCCAACCGAACTTCAGATAAATAAACCGTGCTTGATCCAACTCTGTGTCTGGTAATGTATATCTTGATATACTGAAACAACCCAAATATCAGACTACACCAGGGGATGATAATCTCGTAGGTGTCGTCGGTGCCGTAACTGTATGTCCTGCGGCAGAGAGAGAGCCAGAAGGCAGGGAGCCGACTGGCGCCGCTACCAAACTCCAGATTCTGATGAAAATCCTGAACTGGAAATATTAAGTTCTTTAAGCGAAAGCTATATGAACTAATGGCAATAAAGATGATAATCTTTTTACTGCTTTGACTTGAGCCAGTACGTTACAGTACGGTACTGCTTCTAGCGTATGAGACAACATGCCTAACAGGTCCTAGACATAATAATATCAACTCTCTTGGGGGTCCCTTGGGATCCTCTTGGGGGCATCTTGGGGGCATCTTGGGGGCCTTCGGAGCGCTTGTGGGGCCATCTCGGAGGAGATCGATTCAAGAAGGAGGGGGCCCAAGTAGCGCCGCCCCCCCAAGAGGCCAAATGGGGCCAACACCTGCATAAAACCAATGATTGTGGCTTCCTCGCCGAGGCCGTTCTGGACGCTCCTGCGACCCGCGAGACGCCCTCTCCAGGTCCAGGGGAGGGGGTAGGGGGAGGGGTCAAGCTACCCACCCGCCGCCCGCAAGCCATCTAGCTCACTCCCACCCGCCCTCCCAACACATCCAAACACATAAGTAACACCCGAGCCTGAGCATGTTCAGCGGTCGTCGTTGGATGGACAGCTACTGGGAACCAAAGCCGACCCCAGGTGCGCGACGCTTGGGCGAGGTGCGCCACGCGTGCTGGGGGCGCCACGCTCGCCAGGCACCCCTGGGCCCTGGGGCCCGAGCGTGCCAGGCAACGCCTGGTGCGCCAGATACGCTACGTGCTCCGAGTGCACCAGGTGTGCCGCGCACTCCAGCCGCGCAAGGTGCGCCACGTTTAGAGCACGTGCAGAGTGTGTCAGGTGGGCCTGCGCACGTGACAGCACACATCGGGAAACATGTCGCCCCCCACCATCCTTGTCGAAAACCAATGCCCATCATTGTGCCTGGTGGGCCTGCGCACAGCATCCCACTCGCCACCACCCCCACCGTCCCTGTCAAAAACCACTTGACAGTGATCGCGGGGAGGCCGCGCATGATGCAGATTTAGCCGCGAGGTGCATGCTGTATTGTTTTTTTGTCATGGATGGTAGCCCTGCGTGCAGCAGGGAATGTGCTGACACCCCCGCCGTCACGGTCACAAACAATACAAAGTGCTCACGGGCGTCACGGACATATCTCAAGACCCAAGTTCAAAGTGTACTTTGTATGGTTTTTTGTGAGGGATGGTAGGGGGTCGCAGCACCGGGTTGGCCGCGCATGCTCCACATGTGGAGGCAGAGTGCGTTTTGCGTATTGATTTTAATAGGGGTGGTGGGGGGGGTTGGAGGGTGGGGGAGGGGGCGTATATTAACAGGGAACAGTGAAGAACACCTCCCCGAAGTGAAAGAGGGGGGTGGAAGAGGAAACACCCTAAACCACCTACGCCCTAAAGGGCCGGTGGGACTCGTGGCTTCTGGAGGGCTGAGGGGGTGGGAGGGCCAGGGGGGGAGGAGACAGGGCAGGTTTGGGGAACACCCAAGGCAACCCTGCCCAGGACCTCGAATCCCCCGGCAGCGCGGGCGGTGGCGGCAGCTCATGATGCACTGGTTGGGGCAGCGCCTCCCCTGGCCAACCTTTGGTTGGGCCTGGCCAGCGCCTGCTGGGTCCAGTGCAGGAGAGCACCAGCTACAAAGATCAGAAACACTGACAGATACTTGGCATCAAGGCTCTGCTCATCCAATTCGCCGGTGAAGGGTCTCGCGTGGGTCATCGCCGCCGCCTTGGCGTGAGAGTCAGCCCAATGGTTCCCTCGAACCTCACACGAATCGTCCGAACATTTCAAAATTATCAGCATTCGAAAGGCCCTTGATTTTAAGTACAGGTAGTTGGGATCTCCACGGGAGATTGCCTAAGGTCACCATGCCAACACCAGCGTAATAATGCCTTCTGTCGCACACAGCTTCTCTCTCACGAGAGGTGAGCCCTACCAGGCCCTTGAAATCCTTTCGACTTTCTGACGCCGAGGGCGTGGGCACAGCAGGCTAAGAGGACAACGTGCTCAGACGCTGGACTAGTGTTCGGCAGCTTGGATCCACCAGACAACACAGCAAAGGGCTCCCCGTTCGATTGCTGACAGACACAAGCCCACCCAGCATGGTGGTGTACTTCGTGACCATCCTTGAAGCAAGATCCAACAGAGTAGCAGGCCGTGTCCCGAAAAGCTTCCAGAGGGGTAAACCCAGGGTCCACACAGCTGAAAGCAAAGTCTTCATGTCCAAAACCAGGCGGGGGGCAGCAAGCCTGTTCAGGCACACAGAGAAAACCGAGCATAAGAGTTTCCTTCCTGTCCTCTCGAGTGATCCACTCCAAGATTGAAGGCGGCAGACACTCATCTCTGATCCAATTTGTGGCAGCACCATACATGGACGATGCTGCAAATCACCAGTGGCTGCTTGACAATAAACAGGCATAGGACATAATCTACGAGGTAGCCCAGTGGTGAGAGCCTCCACTTAGACCACACACACACCCACTGCGTGACACGCGCCGTCAGCACAGCGCGGTCCGCCGCGTGTTCGAGGGCGACAACAGAGAACGACAAAACAGTGAGACCCAGGATCTTCAGGGTGACCTCTAGCTCCCCTGCCGCTCCCTTCGATTCATATTTCATCGACGTGGTTCTCAGATCGCAAGCAATCTTGGCAGGAGACGTGCAATCCAAACACACCCCTCATTTCCATCATGGGCCACCCGTGCAAACTGCGACCTGAAAGGCCAACCACCGTTCCGCAGGATGCAGCGGCCGCTCCCAACGGATCTCAACCTGATTCCAGGTTGAAGGGGCGCAGCCAGAACAATCGAAGCAAGTTCTCGAAGGCGAGGCAACCCAGGGTCGAAATTGTGACACGTGGTGGATTTCCAAACCAAGTTGGGCCATGTTATAACCGGCCCCAGGGCGAGTTTGTACGTGGGGTCCTGTCCTGGTGAAGGAGCAGGGAGAGGGGTCGAGATCTGGACGGACAAGTGCTACCGACCGTCTGCAAGAAGAAAGATTGCGCAGACACGATTTGCCTCTGATAAAGCGCCACCACCTCTGTCCCATAATACCCATACTGCTGCAGGCCGCTGGTGTACAACCTGCACATGTCAGCACATGCGAGCATGCAACGTGGTAATCATACTTCTCAGGGCCCTTAACGACACCGAGGTCGCCCACCAGAGGAGTATGTTCCCAAGTTCACAGCTGATCTCTTTGGCATCAACATGCTTGCCCATGGATTTGGAAATGTCGTTTCTCACCGAATCCGACGAGGCCACCATTGCAGACTTACAACAGCTACTTCACCATTCAGCATATCCTCGATGAGCTTTATGACTTCTGCAGAACTTCCGACTGATGTTCGGAATAATTTGAACCGGGATGTAGGACGAGGAAGAGGAGGAGGAGGAAGAGGAGGAGGGGGAGGAGGAGGAGGAGGAGGAGGAGGAGGAGGAGGAGGAGGAAGGAGAGGCGGACGAGGAGAAGCAGCAGGAGGAGGAGGAGGAGCAGGAGGATGAGGAGAAGAGGGAGAAGGAGAAGGGGGGGGGGGGGAGGGGGAGGGGGAGGGGAGGGGAGGGGGAGGGATAGGGGAGGGGAGGGCAACCAGGGAAGAGCCTTGGTGCTGTCGGAGGTGGTGGAGGAGGATTCCGAGGCAGGCAGCGAGGCTCACGCTCTCCTCGACGGGCGAGCGAGCAGGTCGGGCCAAACTGGGGAGGAGGAGGAAGCGGAGGAGGGGGCACGGCAGCGCCGCAGCAGCAGATGGAGGGTCCTCGCAGGCGGCGTCCGCGGCTGACCACGGCCTCGGTCCGCCCCCCGACCTCGCCTACGTGCCGGACAAGCTCGACCTGATCGCCGAGGGTGCGGCGTCCCACCTCCCTCGAGGGGGGGGACGAGGAGGAGCAGGAGGAGAAGAGGAGCGGAGGAGAGGACAAGGCGGACGAGGAGGAGGAGGAGCAAGAAGAGGAGGACGAGGAGGAGCGGGAGGAGGAGCAGGAGGAGCAGGTGGGGGGGGGAGGGATGAAGAGGACGAGGAGGGGGCAGAGGGAGGACGGGGAGAGAAGGACGAGGAGGAGCAGGAGTAGCAGCGGGGGGGGAAGGGAGGGCGAGGGGGGAAAAGAGACCTAGGACAGGAGGGAGGGGGTCGTCATCCTTTCCCTCCTTTGTGTTAGGGGCGAGGACGAGGAAGAGCAGGCCAAGGAGCCAGTGGTGGCGTCTGCAGAGGTGGCTGGAGAGGGTAGGAGGGCGGATGAGCGCTTACGCGGGCCCCCCGGCTGCCCGCGGGTGCGTGGCTTTGGACGCCACTCCGGACGTGCGCTGGGTCTCGTCTGACTCGTGCTCGGTCTCGCTCCCTGCACTGTCGTGAATGGCGTCGGTCGCTGGAGACCGCCGGGACGCCGCGCGATCGGTTGCCGAGCCGAAAGGCTGTGGGTGACGAACGAACAACACACCCCCATACCCATAGGGGCGGTCGTTGGGAGGAGGACTCGCTATGGGTATGGGTGCGGGTTGTCGGACCCCGGGGAAGGCTCCCGTTCGAGCGGGGACCCCCATCCGACAACACGTACCCATAGCACTCTCCGACCCCCCTATGGGTATGGGTGTGTGTGTGTTGTTGGTTCGTCAGTGGGCACGGCGGGGCTGCCTGCGCAAGCACGGAGAGAGGCAGCGGGGCCAGAGGCAGCTCCCAGGGGCAAGTCGTCGGCACACACATCGGAAGGTCATCCAGGCGCGAAGCGGCCCTCGTCATGGTGGCCACGAGGAGCCACGAGCCCAGGCCCCCATCACAACGCCAGGCGATGCGGCCAGGAGCCTGCGCAGGGCCGCGGCTCCCCGCCAGGAGGCGTCCGGGCCCCCGGGGGGATAACTCGCCACACGGGCGCTGCCGCACGGGCGTCCATGTCGACACTGCTGATGCCCGAGTCGCCAGGTATCGGCGGTGTTTGGTGGACTCGGTAGGTCGTTCGGGTGTCCCTTCGTCCCGTTCGGCAGCCCAGGTCGTTTCGAATCGCAGCGTGCATGCCCGATTGGGCCCCAGGGGGGGGGAGAAACTATTTCAGGTTGGATTCGATGGGGGCCCCGCGCCGTCTCACCAATTCATGGACGCGGCCCACGCCCAGCCTGGCCTACGGGCGCGCCTGGTGGTGCGACAGCGGGGAGCTCCGGGAGCTCTTCACGGGGAAGGGGGGGCGGAGGAGGGAGGGCAGCGGAGGAGGGGAGGAGGGGTGGGGGAGGAGAGAGGATTTCCCTCCCTCCTCTTGTCCCCGGTCTCCCTCCCCCTCCTTCCCGCTTCACCACCAGCACCCGCCAGTAGAGAGGGGACGAGGCCCACAGCACTGAAGCGTAACCGTGCTGGGACAGGTCCCTGAGGGCTTGACGGCTCTTCTCCGCTCGGCTTGCGGGGATGAAGCCAGCGAAATCGAGGCAAGTCAATGTGAGCCCAAGCAGGTCGAGGCAAGTCAGGTCGAGGCAAGTCCAGAGACGAAGAGGTCCATCGGGAGACGTCGCAGGAGCTCCAGCGCGAGCCGAGGGACAGCAGAAGGCGTTGAGCCCTGAACGAGGAGGGGCGGCCGGCGTGGGACCCTGGGTGCCTAGCCACGCGCCTTCCAGCACCGTGGGAGGCAGGGGTGTGCCAGGACGGCCACCCGCGCGGGCAGGCCGCTTCGGGCGCAGACTAGGGCCGGGGCAGAGGAAGAGAGGGGGAGCGAGGGGGAGGGGAGGCGTGTGATCGCCGGGCGTCGTTGCGGGGGCGTCGAGCGTCGTGGGCGGAGGGAGGAGTGACCGTCAGGGCCTCCTCCCCCTCATCATCATCGTCATCATCATCGTACTCATTCTTATCCTCCTCGGCTCTTTGGTTTCGACTCGGGGACGGCCCGAAGTGGCCACGGAACCCGCGATGGCAGATCCATGGTACGATGCGAACCGTTCGACCAGCTCTAATCCTCTTCCTCCTCCTCCCCCTCCCCCTCCTCCTCCTCTTCCTCCTCCTGCTCCTCCTCCTCCTCCTCCTCCTCATCTTTATCCTCCTCATCCTCATCTTCATCCACGTCCTCTTCATCCACGTCCATCTCCCTTTGCGTTGAGAAAACCTGGCGCACGGAGCACGTCGCGTCTTGGACACAAAAGGTAGGGAATAAACCGACCTGGCGAAGAGGTACAGGAAGTCCACTTGGCAGGCGCCGCGGAAGGTCAGGGTTAAGGAGTGCGGCAAAGAGTAACATACGGAGTAGGCGCGCCTGCCAAGTGGTAATAGTTGGCGATCTTGACCTTACAGTCTGTCACGACACCTCACCCCACCATTGAGCCCAACACCTGTAGTACAGTCTAGCCCAGGAAGTGCAAGGCAGTGCAGGCTGGCCCAAGTGATGCCAGGAATATGTGTAGAAGTGTACAGCGTGTCCTTTCTTTCAGTGGATGCTGCGAAAGCCGTACGGGGCTGGCCCAGACTGTGCTGGCCGACCCAGGTGCAATTCTTGGGTTATTACACGTGAGCAGGCTAGAGTGAGAGACGGAACCATCCAGTAAAGTGTATCAAGCGGCTACTTGTAAGTGCCAGCTGGAAGCAAGATGATATTAAAAGAGTGGGGCTGGCGTCGGCAACGCTGGCCCAAGAGTAATAGTTAATAGTCTGTGTTGGCTGGTGGGGTGCAGGCTAAATATTGAGAGAGAGAGAGATAGAGAGAGAGAGAGGGAGAGAGACGGACCCCCCCCCTCCACGGCACCAAGCCCAGCCCCATTTCCCAGGTCCAATTCTGAGAGGCAGGCACGGAGTTGCGACTGTCAGAGATTGACACGCAAATAGACCGCAAGTAGAGTGAATCGGCGCCTGTGGGAGACGCAGTGTCAGGCTAAGATGGCTGAGCTTTGGCCGTAAGTAAGAGGGTAGTGAGGAGCGCAGGTGGCGGACTCGGCCGGGTAGCTTTTGCTTTGCCACCTGCAAATGCCCGCTGGAGGCAAGATGAGATGTTACAACATGGGGCTGGCGTCGGCTACGCTTCTGGCCCAAGTGCAAAAGTCTGTGTTGGCTGGCCTGGGTGCAATTCGTGGGCTGCTACCCGTGCACAGGCCAGAGTGAGAGACGGAACCCATCCCCCTCCCCGCAACCACGCTGTCCAAGCCCTTCCCCCATCTCCTCAACCTGACCCCTTCACTCCCCTCCTTCGTCCCCCCCTCCCCTCTTAGAGAGCCGAACGAAGCGTGCTCCCGGAAAGCTTCCCGGGAACATGATTCTCTCTCTATCTCGGAGTAGGCCCTGTGGTCCCCCTCCCCCTCCCCCTCCCCCTCCCCCCCCCCCTCAGCCTCCCTCCGCGAAGGTGCCAGCGAGGGCGGGCCCGAGAAGCTGCTGGACCGGGGCAGGGTGCAGCTGTTCTGGCTCGGGCTCGGGGAGGTGCGGCTGCCGAAGGACGCGCCCCGCCCCCCCCCCCTCGCTGCGGGGAGCGGGTCCTGGGGGGGGGAAGCGGGACGGGGACTTGGCATCGCTCGGACGTGTGCATTTGTCTTTCGGCGAGGACCATCGAGGAGCATCCTTGATCATTCGGCGGAAAAACCACGCACGAAACCGAAAAAAACACAGGGAATGGACGTCCGAGCGATGGCCAGGGGAAGGTCGTCTCAAAAGTCCAGAGGTATGATAGGGGTGCTGTATAAAAAGGGTCAGGTATGATTTGCACGTTCACTCCTAGCAACCGCATGGTTCGTCAGGATGTTCCATGGACGATCGCCACCTGACAGCATAATCTTCCGAGGCGCCCGACGATGAACTCAAGGCCACGACGTTGTTCGACGCGGACATTGGTTACACAGATAAGGCGAAGGAGAGAAAGACATGGTCAGATCAAGACGACCCGCCTCGTGAAGTTGAACAACTAGGGGCACTGGCATGTCTTGTCAGCGCAGAGTACGACATCATACCTCGTCAGCGCTGGCAGAAGGTGATGACAGCCATCGCCATCTTGGGTTCAAGCTGCATGGCACGCGCAGCCGCCGCACGAGGCGATCAAGCTACTGCGTCTGGCGAACGCAAACGGCCTGGCGGTGCTTGGGACGATCGCGGTGCCAGAGTATTTGGTTACACGTCGCATTGTCATGTCTCTTGTTTCTTTTCAAGAAGTTGGTGAGACGAACGACTCATGTGGTCGACCTTCTTAGGTCATTCAAAGCAGAGACACGCCAAGGAGTTCGGACTGACCCTCATCCGACACCCCGAACAAAGATCCCCACGACGACCACGGAGTGCACAAGATGGTTGCCAACGCCCCCGATCAGTAGGTTCCGGGCAGGTAGGATGAAGGCTCACCATTTCTTGCGCGGCATCGTGCGCATCAGGCGCATGCAGTCAGTCGTCCGCGGCCGCGAGGATGCCGAAGAGGTCGACGATGTCGACGTGGAGGCACGCAGCGCGAAGTTATTGGCCAATGGCACCGAGCACTTCGAGAACGAGAACGATGTTGTCCGTCTATACCTCTGAGACGAGGAGGCAGACTGGACGCAATTGCAAATTTCGTAATTTTTTGTGTGGCCTTCCATGAGACACCTCGTCGTGGAATGCCCGCGGTTCCTGAGCCTCAGAGACCGCCCCAGATTTCAGCGCGATCTTCCACCGCAGTTCTGGACGCCCCTTCCGAGGGTATCTGCCAAGAGCGGGTGGGTAAGCGGGTAATATTTGCAGCCGCGCCGGCTGCCAGAGACCGCTCCAGAATGCTGATTGCACGTTGTTCCATGGGAATTAGTGTACATAGTGAGTTCTGGCTTGTGTGAGATTCTTCAAGACGCACCTCCGTGTCCTCGATCGGGAGACTGTCGTGGATGGAAGCAGTTATCAGGCGTGGGCCTGCCCCATCGTCAGGGTATTCCACTTCACTAGTTTCTCATATCCTCAACGTCGTTACCGGCCTGTTCGGCGAGCGCCAGCCCATCCGCATCCTTCCTGCGTCTGTCTGTCGACACCATGTTTGGACCCGCTCGTTCAGCTGGCCTTCGTTTTCGCCCCATGCTTCCGTCGTTTCGGCAATCCGGGCGTGGTCCTTCAAGCGAAGGCCATGGGCGAAGATTGCGCCTTCAGGTGAGGGCTCTCACTTTCGCGCTTCCCTCTTCCCCCGCATCCTCCTTTCCCCCTCTGAAGTCTCCTCCGCCCGGCCGTTCCCCCCCTTCGGCATGATTGTTCCCTCCTTCCCCTCCCTTCTCTCTGTCTCCCCGCCACCTGGGCGCAGCTCTGACGAGGCTGCCGCGCAGGAGCAACATCGGCACCGAGTGCGAGGGGGAGGGGGAGGGGGAGGGGGAGGGGGAGGGGCCACATTCGGCCCCGGCCCCAGACCCAGCACTGCCCAGTGCAGGGCGCCACTCCTGCACAGTCTTACTGCGGGTTCCTAGCCCGGGCGCACCCTCGTCGTTCGCACCCAACAGCAAACTAACTGGGAGTTGGGGGTCTCCCCTCGGCAATCCATACCCGGCACAGGGACTGTTCAAAGGCGGTCCGTTCGAAGATTTGACAGGTTGGTCAGTGATCCTCCTCCTCCTCCTTCTCCTCCTCCTCCTCCTCCATCTCCGTCCCGATGGCGCTGCCAGATCTTTGCGATGCATATATTCCATGTGCCTGAGCTTCCCGCCCCACATCTGCTCAAACTGTTTTTCAGGACCCGTCCCAGAGTCCATCCAGGCCAGTTTTTCCAGCTACGCCCAGCCGTGGCGATGGAGTCTTCCAGAAACGCCCAAAAGCCTCACACACGACGACGTCGTCATCGCCCTGCGCTGCCTCAGGCCGTCATCTCGCTGAAGGTCGGCTTCCCCCCCGCCGTGACCGCGCGCGCCGACGGGGCGGTGCTAGCTGCCGTGCACACGCGGCTGGTCCAGCTGTTGCTCGAGGAGACTTTGCCCCCAGGCGGGACGTTGCGCGGGACGAGGAGGAGATGGAGGAGGACGGGGGCGGGGGGAGGGGGGAGAGAGAGAGAGAGAGAGAGAGAGAGAGAGAAAAAAAAAATCGCGGGCAATCACCATCGGAGGGGATTTTGTCGTCCTGGTTGGGGGGGCACCATCCCAGCTAGGGGCCCGCTTCGGGTGCTTGCCCAGAAAACGGAGCATTAGGCCGATTCGTCCCCGTCGAGAGGATTGGGGTCGCGATGCGGGGCCGTTCGGCCGAGCTATCGAGCCCTCTCTTCGCTGAGTCCAAAACATGGACAGGCAACCGAAAGACAGAGGGTGCTGACCCGAAAACCTGGGTCCAACTCTGCCCCTCGGCGGCATTGCACTCGCTTGGTCAGCTTCCGAATGCAAGCGAACCCATCGAGGACTGAATAGCTGTCGAGCGAGGTCCCCAGGGGGTGTGTGATGACCAAGCTTGTGCGCCCTGTTCGGGCGCACCAACCTAGCAAAGGCATCTGGAGGAGAAGAAGGAGGAAGAGGAGGAGGAGGAGGAGGCCGAGGAGGAGGATGAGGAAGAAGAATAAGGAAAACTGAGAAGAAGAAGAAGAAAGAGAAGGAGAAGAAGAGGAAGAAGAGGAGGAGGAGGAGGAGGAGGAGGAGAGTGCGGGGGCCATCACTGGCAGTTGACTACGCACTCACTGCCACCACGGCAGCAGCAGCAGCAGCAGCAGTTCACGCGACGCGGCACAGCAGCACCTACTCAGCGCCTCCATTCCTCCAAATTCGCACCAGGCGTGGATCACAACTTTTCTAGTGACAGAAGCGCAGTCTTCACACCACCCCTTTTGCGCCTACTTCTACGTATGCCATGCCTCGCACGACATGAGCCTTGTCGGCACCGCGTCCACACTACGCCTACATCCACCTCTGGCGTTCCCCGCTCGAGGGCCGTCCAGGTGGACACAGTCGGCTCTGTGCGCCGTGCTCCACAACCGCCACCTCCTGCACTACGTGTACGTTGCCCCCTTCCACATCACATACTCCATGGACGATGGTAGCTTCCTTTCCTACCTCCTCTGAGGCACCTCCAGGCGCACGAACCGACCCATCACTCACCTCTTCTTCTGATTATTAATAGTGTGATTAGTAGTAGTATTATTAGTATTAGTATCATGCTTCTCAGCATGTTCAACAGTAGTATTGCTGTTACTCGTATTACTATGATTAGTATCATTAGTCGTATGACCATGCGTATCCTGCTTCTTCGTTTTCTTTGTAGTATTATTGGTAGCTGTATGACCTCCTTCTCAGCATCAGCATCCTCATTCTTATCAGTATTGTTATCATTCTCAGTGCAGCCCCTTCGGCCCACTGCTCGCCCGGTGACCTTTTTCCTCCCCCCCCCCTGCAGCACGCGGCCACCCTCGGAACGGCGACGGAGGTGGGCGCGGGGGCCCACAGCACCCGAGGCGGGCGGGGAGGACCAGAAGGGGCACGCTCCCCACTGGCCGCCGCGAGGGGCTATGTACAGCTCTCACGGCGTCTGTGGAGCAAACTGGCGGACAAGTAAGAGCCATGCCGAGGGAGCACTCGCCCTCCCCTCGAGGGGTGGGGCCCCCGCCCCGCTCGGGCCACCTCCCCTGCCTGCTTGCCCACTTGATTCCCACCTTTTGCCCTCACCCTCCTCGCGCTCTCGCACGCTCGGGGCGCCCACTCTTGTTCACCCAGCGCCGCCGCCAGCCCCCTTCAGACCGATCCCGCCTGCTCCCGCTGCGCTGCGCCGCGTTGCACTTGTGCACCTCGCACCCCTTCCTCACCTCATGATGTGGATATAGGTGTGACGGTTGCGGCCCCCCCTCCAGAGGAGCTAGCCGAGGTGGATCCCAGCTTTCCCCCGGGAATTGGCACCTATTCTCGGACCCCACCCGAACGCGCACCAGGCCACAGACAGTATCGCCTCTCTATTCCCTTCAGGTGCTTCATCAGGTGATCATCCGTCTTTCCTGCGTCCCTCTTGTCACCTCTTGGTTTTTCTTTCGCCCCTCTCCCCAGCGCTGCTGGGAGGGTGGGGCTTCGAGGGCTTCGACCGTTTCGGTGGCACGGTCCGCAGCTTCAAGCGTCGAGGGGGAGGGGGGGGAATAGGGGGAAGGAGGTGGAGGAGCGGGAGGGAGGCACGGCCGACCAGGGAGGGGGAGGGGTCGGGGGGCACTGCACACGCACACGCTTTCGGATGTCCGCGCGGATGTCTTGGATCGGCGCTGGACCCCCTTCCCTGGCGCGCAGAGCGCGCAAGGTCCAGCGCCGATCCAACAACTCCGCGCAGACCTCCGAAAATGTGCGCCTGTGCTGCTTCCCTTGTTTCTTGCCGAGGAGTCCTCGGACGCGCTGCAGACGTGCGGCGTGACGTACTCCATCTCCGCCGGGAGCGACGGCATCACGGTTCCGCGGCCGCGGGCCGGATTCCTTTTCTTATCCGTTTCCGCAGGAGAGGGGGCGGCGGCCTCCACGGCCCCGCGGGGGTTGCGGGCCGAAGCCTCGGGGGGAGGTCGTTCGACGCGTCGCCATCGCTCGAGGAATCGGGCGACTGCAACATAGCATTATGGCACGCCCCAGCTTACACAAGGCACGGTGGCGGGGCTATACTCATACACAGTTTTGATCTGTGTCGGAAACGCATAGGATGAATCACCGCCGCCCCCTGCCTTTTGGAATCGCCCGTATGGCCGAGTGTTGTGGCAAGAGCTCTGCCAAGCTATCGGACCATGTGTTCCCCCAGCCGCTGTGGAAACCCTTCGGGGAACAGTTGGGGGAGGATGGCGAGGGCGATCAGGAGAAGGAGGAGGAGGAGCAGGAGGAGGGGGCATCTTCAGAACCTCTCGGGGCACTCGTGGGGCCTCCTGGAGCTTCCTGGGTGCCTATTGGAGGCATCTTGCGGGCCTCCTTGGGCCTCATGGGGCTCATGGGGGCTGCTCGAGGGCCTCTTTGGCTGTCTTAAGGCATTCCTGGCCCGTTTGACGCCGTCGGAAGCCGTTTGGGGGGCCTCTCTGGGCCGACTTGGGGCCCTCTTCGGGTGCTCCAGGGCCGTCTTGGAGGCCATCTTGGGCGTCTCGGAGGCCTCTTGTGCCGTTCTGGGGCCATCTTGGAGTCCTCTTGGGCGATCTTGGGGCGATCTTTGGCCGCCTCGGGTCGTCTGAGGGCCGAAAAGAAGCACATGCCACACTTATTCAAAAGCCTATGGACAAGCAATGATGTTGGCCTTTTCGGGCTTTCTGGATGCCCTATTGGAGGCCTCTTGGGCCGTCTTGGAGGCCTCTTGGGGCCCTCTTGGGGCCCACTTCGAGGCCTCTTGGGCCGCTCTGGGGTCATCTTGGAGGCCTCTTGGGCGATCTTGAGGCGATCTTTGGGGGCAATTGGGCCATTTCGGGCCACCGGAAGGTGGAAAAGTAGCAAATGACAAACTCCTTCAAAAACCTGTGGAACATCAAAGGTGTTAGTCTCTGCGGGCCCTCTGGGAGGACCTTTTGGAGGCTTTGTGAGCCGTTTTGCAGGCCTCTTGGGGACCTCTTGGGCCTTCTTCGGTCATCGTGAGCCGTCTTGGTGGCTTCTTGTGCGGACTCTCTAGGACTGTCTTCGAGGCCATCTTGGGCGATCTTGGGCGAACTTGGAGGCCATCTTGGCTGTCTTCGAGTCCATCTTGGTTGGGCTATCGTGGAGCCATCTGGACCAGGACCATTTTTACAGCTACCTCTTCCGGGTGGCCGGCGGGACGGGCCGAAGCCCCAGGGGAGAGTTCTTTTGGACAAAAGAACCCAAACCAAACCGTGAGAAGTTCAGCACGCCAGGCACCCCGTTGCCAAGCCAACAGGGGGCGGGTATAGCCAGGACCCCGGGTAAGGGGACCCGGTTAGTGGTAGGGCCCTGGGGCCCCTCAATTGGCCAGATTCATTAAACCAGGTTTGCCGTAATGGGTGTTTTTCGGGTGACGGCAGTTCCGGTTAGTGGAAATGGGACGGGGGGGCGCCCCCAGCACAAATCACTAAACCAGGTTCCACTAAACCCAGTTCTGCCAACGCCCGAAGGGGGCGGCGGACCGAATGGCCTTCGGCCCATCCCGCCACCGTGCCCGGGTTGTCTCTGGAATGTCCGTTGAGATGTCGCGGCAGGCCTCTCGGGGGCCTCTTGGGGGTCGCTTTGAGGCTTCTTGGGGGCCGTTTGGGAGCCACCTCCTGGGGGACTGTCTCGGGGCGGAGGCTCGAATTCTGGGTTCGCGTTCCCCCCTTTTGGGTCCTTCTCGGGGCTGTCTTCGGGCCCTCTTGGACCGTCTTCGGCGCCTCTGGAGCCGTCTTGGAGCTCTCTTGGGCTTTGGGGCGGTCCTGGGGGCTTATTGGGCCGTCTTGGAGCGTCGGGAACTCGACAAGTGGAGGGCCCAATATCGATATGTGTATATGTATATATGTATATATATATATATATATATCGATGTGTGTGTATATATATATATATGTATATATATATATATTATACGTATACATATACATACATGCATGTACATACATATACAAAGATACAGACATACATACAGACATACATGCAGACAGACTGACTGACAGCCAGACAGACAGACAGACAGACAGACAGACAGACAGACAGACGTACGTACATACATACACACAAACAAAAATGATGTTGGCCTCTCGGGGCCCTCTTGGGACGTCGTGGGACCATCTTTGAAGTATTGTTTCGATCATAAGGCGCCTCGGGGCCATCTTGGACCGTCTTCGGGCCCTCTCGGGCCCTCTTGACCCGTCTTTGGGCCCTCTTGGGTCCGGAGAGTCATGCGACAGGACGCTGGAAGCCCACGACAAGCGGCAGCAAGCCCCAGGAGATTTGGCAATTTGGGGTCTGGGTCTTCAGAGGACTCCGCAGGAGTGAGGACTGAGGCTTCGAGGATCAGGCAAAAGACTTGAGGACACGCCCACTCCGTGCCCTGCGATTGTGCTCGGCGTGAGAATCCAGCTGAGGCCCGCCGTTCAGCATGCGACAGCGCTCGTCCAGTGTGAGCTCCTTGTCATCGGGAGCGGCGGCGTCCGAGTGCGCGAAGCGACAAAGGTTGTCACAGGAGGGATGGAAGGGGCGAAGGCGGCGGGGCGAGGTGCGAGGAAGGAGGGGGGGATTGGGGGCCGCGGGGGGAGGGAGGGGGGCGCATGGGAAAAGGGTGAGGGGGATGGGGGAGTGAGGCGAGGGAGGGGGCGCGGAGGAGGGGAGAGGGGAGGCCGGATCTGGCTGCAGGGTCCTTGACGATGTTCGCCAGGGCCTCGCAGCACACCTGGTTGCTCTGGACTGCCATGGAAACTGCTGCTTCGGCCTGCGTGTCGTTGAGCCGCCAGGCCTTGTAGTCTCCGTGGGCGTCAGGCTCGGTGGGGGGCGTCCGGGGAGGCTGCATGACGGTGCCGTTGGTGGCACGGCGGCTGCCGGGGGTCCACCGGCTGGGCATTGGAGGGGGTGACGGGCCCCTGGCGGGGATGCCCGCATCAGGGGCCGCACTGCCCTCGCCCTGTTCCTCGCCTGGGGCGGAGGCCGCCCCTGCGGGGTTGCCTACAGCAAGGGGCGCCCCGTCCTCCTTCCCAATCGATCCCGGGTGACGGCGGGAACGTGTCGACGGGTGGGATCTCATCAAGCCAGGCGTCGTCGTCGGCCGGCTCCTCCGCCAGCACCCCTCGTGCCAGAGCCTGGAGTTCGAGGCAGCCAGTGGCAGAGTAGTCCCACAGGAGGATGCGGCGCCGATCCGCCGCGGGAATGTCGCAAGAAATCGCGACCACCTCCGGTGAGACGAGGGTTGTGAGGCGGCCCTCTGGCTGCCGCAGGCGTGGCCCCAAGAGGAGTCTGACAGACGCGCGCGCACACACACAATCGCACACACACACACACACATTCTCTCTCTCTCGCTCTCTCTCTCTCTCTCTCTCTCTCTCAGACACGCGCACACTTTTCCGTCGGCGGCGAGGCAGACTTGGCTGCACCAGCGGTAGAGCTAGACGTGGGCAGCGAAGAGCGAGTTGGCCAGCACGCAAGCGTGGGAGAGGCGGGCAGGCTAGGCGGCCGCGGGGGTGGGGGAGACGGAAAAGGGCCACTCGGGAGCGGCCGAGGCTGCACCAGAGTGCGCTGGCGCGGCCAGCCCCGCCAGCAGGAACCGTGGCAGCTGCCGGGCCGCGGCGGCGCCGGGGCACCCACGGGCGCAGGCGGGGTCCAGCGCGGGCAAAAGCAAGTACACGCTGCAGTGACGTCGCCGAAGTATCGGGCCGGGCGAAAGGGGGGGATTGGGAAAGGGGGGGTTACGAAATTTGCTGCATGCAGCTGGTTTCGGCCTCACCGAGGGGCCCATTCCTCGATACATGGCCGCCTCCGGCGCCGGGAGGCGCAGGGAAAATCAGCTACGTGAGCTGATTCTCAAACCCCCCTTTTCCCCCCGTTTTGCCCGACCCAAAAGTAGTACATTGGGGTGCTCGGTCGACGGAAGGGGGCCGCAGGCCGCCCTGGTGGGTGGCACGTGGCAGGGCACGGCAGGTACATGTGTAGTCCAGGTGCGGACCGCAGCTGGCAAAATGCTGGGCCCACGGTGCGGGGGGGAACGAGCGGCAAAACCAGGCCCGGGAGCCCCGACCACGCAGGGAGGCCGCGTGCTGCGGCAGCCCCGCGAGCGCCATGGCGGCGCGCGGAGCGAGGGAACCAGAACGGCGAAAACGGGGGAAGGGAGCAGGGAGGAGGGGCGCCCCACCTGCGGGGAGACCCAGGCGGCGCGACGGGGCCAGGCGGCCCAGGGCCAACGCTGCTGCAGCTGCCGGCGGGTGGCCCTGGCTGCGGCTGTGGAGGCCGAGCGCTGTCGGGGTCGACAGCGCTGGCCGGTCTAGAGGCTCCTAATCGGCGCAGTTACTTGCGTCAAAACTGTGGCCGAAGGCTGTCGGGGGCCACGCGGTGTCGGAGTGGACAGCGCATGGCCGGTCTAGGGGCACCGCGTTGGTGCGGTTTCCGGCGCTTGTGAGCACAGGGATGACAGGGCATGGCGGAGGAAGCAGCTGAGGAAAGTGGCGTCGTGCCGGCTGGGGTCGCGGGCGCCGCCGCCACACATAGCACAGAACCTGCGCCAGGCCGCCCCAGGTTCACCACCTATTTACTGCATCCTCCTGACCCGGGCCACCAGGGCCCCCTTCGAGTTGAGGACGTCGAGCAGGACATGTGTTGGGACATCTTCGGCACGCGCCTGCCCCTTGCCCTGCTTCCTGTAGTCCGAGGCGAACAAATCCCATAGGACGCGGGCGCCCGGCAACGCGGCCCGGGCGTCTTCGACGAGGAGTAGGAGCGGGCGCCGCGCAGGCAGAGGTGCCCCCCCTCGCGAGCTGGCGCCGGAGCAGCCCGTGGCGCTGGAGCCACCAGCGCCCGTCGCCACCGAGGAGGAGCGAGGAGCCATGGGGCGATCACGTACGGATGGGTGTCGGCGACGACCCAGCCGCAGGCTGGCGCCACTGACCCGGCGGGCTGCAAAGACGGACGCCACCCACCGCCTCGACTGGCGGGCAGGGGGCGGGCAGGGGCCTTGGAGGAGGCGGCGGGCCGGGCGCGGGGGGGGGGCGCGGGGGAAGATGTCGGGGAGGGAGCCACGGGAGACCTCGCCGCGAGGGGCGTTCCTTGGGGCGCCGTCGCGAGAGGAGTCGGGTGGAGTGCGGGGCGGGACGACGACAGTGGCGTCAGATGGGGCGTCGGGTCCAGTTTTGTTGCGGTCGGCGTCGCTGTCGTCAGCTTAATATTCCCGGCAGCCCCCGTCTGGCTGGTTGCGGTTGCAGCGCCGGTGATCTTCGGACTGCTCATGATCGCGCTGCTGGAGTCCGGGGCGCCG